TGCCTGCTAACCAGACGGCTGGCGGTTCAAACCCACCAGCCACTCCTCGGAAGGAAGGTTGGGCAATCCTACTTCCATAGTGATAATGCCTCGGAAACTCAAGGAGGGGTCGCTATGAGTCGGGGCCAACTCGACGGCACATAACAACAACAACAACAACATACTAATATAGAGGAGCCTTGGTGGCACCGTGGTTAAGCTCTCAGCTGCTATTAGTCAATAGTTTCATTAGCTGCTCCATGGGAAAAAGATGTGGCAGAAAGACAGCGCTGTCTGCTCCTATAAAGATTTAGCCTTGGAAACCCTATAGGGCAGTCCTACTCTGTCCCATAGGTCATTATAAGTTGGAATCCACTTGACAGCAATGGAGGTTATTTTATTTTTTTAAAAAAATATATAAATATAACAAACATGCCTTGAATTTCCATGAACAGGAAATGTGCTTTACACAGTGTTTTCATTTAGAATTCTGTGTCTTTGCAAGGAAACCACTAAGACTTTGTAGGGAGGTAAATTCAAGCATGTAGTTTCTACAGACAGGCTGAGCCTCACTCACAGGCAACTGTGAAGGTTCTATGTAGCTTGATGACAAAATTGAGATGGCCGAGGCTTGCCAAGTTAGCCATCTGTAGAAACCACAGACACTCCACCTCCAAACAATTACAGGAGCTGTATAAACACTGGTGACAAGAGAATGAAAAGAAAACTGGGCTATGCAACAGAAACTTTTTGAAGTATTTCAAATTTGAATTTCTACCATGTCTGTATAGCTGGGGAATTTTCATACCCATCTCTAATTGTGTTGATAACCATTTTCTGGGCCGTGTCCTGAATTCCCTCATGGCCATAAGTTGAAATTTTTAAGTGTTTCAACACTCTTTTTATAGATTCACAGTGGCAACAAAAACTGCCATGTAAAAATACAGTGTTCTTGCTATTCATCCATCAGAAAAGTAAGAAAAATTTGCTCATAAATACATCACCCCTCTAGTATAATAAAAGTCAAGCTGCAGTGCTCAGAAAACCCAAATTAATGTCCAGTGTGATTGGATCACATGAGTGCTAGAGTGAGTTGTCACATAATGAAGCTAGACAAGTAAGGACTTTGTCAAGTGGGTCTTATAGGCCTTGGCAGAGTTGGAGCCTTTATTCTCAGCGCAGTGAAAACTTATTGCTGGGATTTAAAGCAGGGAAATGGCATAATCCAATATACATTTTTAAAACACTACTTTATCTAAAATCACACTGATTAAGGGTATGAGTCGGGTCCGACTCAAAGGCACATAACAACAACAACAACAACAAGGGTAGGAATGCACAGCCTACTAATGTAATTGCTGTAAGCTGTACACCTGTAAAAAGTTGAAATCGCAAAAGTTGTGTGATAGATATATGTACAACAACAACATACACAACGAGTAGCTGAAGAGGCTGCTTATGCACAACCAAATACTTTGTGGGATTTGGTTCCTTAGTTTGGAGGTTTAGGGTCATAGTTTCAAGGGACATCTCAGTAAAATGGTCTAATAACGTGTTTAGTGCTGCTGTTTTACCTCCTAGTTCACTGCATAATGCCTGGGGTCTTAAAAGTTTGCAAGTGGCCATTCAAATACAACTGGTTTCTAGTCACATGCAGCAAGAGTCAGGAATAGGAGTATATGGAATGTGAAGCTAATTGCCTCCACAAACGACTGCCTCCTCCGTCATGAGAACAGAAGAACTAGATGGTGCCCAGTTAACATTATCGAACATTTTGATCCAAGATTCTATAGAAGATTCCTCATCCATAAGGGGGAAAGGTAGAAAACAATTTCAAATTCTCATGGGCTCTAGACTGTTGGAGTCATGGAGGTTGTATGAACCCCTGAAACTACAGCCCTGAGATAATCTTTAAACCTTAAATGGAAAATACCCCTGAAGTCTTCTGAAAACCAAAAAATAGTCTTCTTAACTGGTAAAGAATGTCTGACTTGAACATTATGCTCTTTTAAGAACTATCTATGGGGTCAAACTGACAACAGCAACACAAAAGATTAGTTAGGAACCTTAGGGGTCAGTGAGCTTATGTTAATAGGGGAGGAAGAACTCAGAAAAGGAAGGTGTGAAGTATAATCAATGTCACTGAACTGTACATATAGAAACTGTTGAGCCAGTGTATGTTTTGCAGTATGTATTGTCAACAACAACAACAACAAAATAATATATAAAAAAAGATTACCTTATCTTCTGTGAGGAGCTCTGGTGGCATAGTGCCTAAGGCATTTGACTGCTAACCAGAAGGCTGGCAGTTCAGACCTACCAGCCACTTCTTGGAAAGAAGAGTGGGCAATCTACTTCCACAGAGATACCGCCTCGGAAACCCAAGGAGGGGTTGCTATGAGTCGGATTCGACTCAATGGCAGTGAGTTTGGTTTGGTTCTGGTTTCATCTTCTGTGTACAGAATATGAAGAATGGCCACAAGGAGTGTAATTAAGAGGTTGATGAAGAAGTTTGGGTGAGAGAGAATAAATTAGCTTACTATCCTATGGGGCAGTTCTACTCAGTCCTATAGGGTCAGTAAGAGTTGGAATCGACTTGACAGTAATGGGTTGGTTTTGGAAACAGGCAAATTCTATTATGATTCTACTGTATTAAAATAGAAAGTAGAAGCAATCTTGAGTATTGATTTTCAGATAGCATTCTGTTAATGTTCTATTAATTTGTTGAAACTTCATTTCTTCACTTAAATTCTAAGAAAAGTATTTATTAGTAAGGTTCAGTTACTGAAACCACTAAGAAATAATGTGAAGACAGTAAAAAGTAAAAAAAAAATATATTTTTCCCAACCTACAGATTGGGAAAAAATATTTGGCAATGACATATCCCAAAAGGGACTGTTTTGGTTACTTACTGCCTCTCTGACAGGAAATATACCACAAATGGGATGGCCTTAACAAACAGGAGTTTATTCTTAAAATTTGAAAGCTTTAAGTCCAAATTCAAAGTGCCAGGCTCTAGGGGCTGGGTAAAAGCCCCTCAACCTTGGGGTCTAGCTCTGCCTCCTGCTCCCGGCCCACTAGAGCTAGAGGCATTTCTTCACTTAGACAGCTTCTGGCTGCTGAGGCTAAGAAGCCCCAAGGTTGACAAGTAAAAAGGCACAGTCCCAATGTTACCAAATCACAGGGCAGGCCATTAACTTAAGTCCATTGTAAGTCCCAAGGTCAGCAGAGCATAGCAGGCTGCTGAGCAACAACACAGCTACATGCAGGGTCCAAGCATGCCATAAACTAGAGACCATTCCCAAGGCTTCTCCTTATATACAGGAAGCAGACCACATCCCAAAGGCTGCTTGTGATAGATCCCACCATGGAGCTGATTACCAGTCTCATCATGAGGAATAACTACCACCAGCTGCCCGGCCACTCAACCAGACCCAGCCAAGTTGACACACAAACATAACTACCACAGGGACTTATCTCTAAAATTTATAGAAAACTTCAACATCTCAACATCAAAAGGACAAACAATCTAATTCAATTAAAAAACGGGGTATGCACCGACACTTCACCAAAGAAGATATTCAGGTAGCCAACAAACACTTGAAGAAATGCTCGTAATCACTAGCCCTTAGAGAGAGGCAAATAGAAACAATGAGGTATCGTCACACCCCAGCAATAACAGCAAAGTTCATCAAGAGAGAAAACAAATGCTGGAGAGGGTGTGAAGAGATTGGAATTCTTGTACACTGCTGGTGGGACTGTAAAATGGTACAACCACTGTGCTTCCTTAAGAATTTGGAAATAGAAATTCCATTTGATCCAGCAATCCTACTATTAGGAATATATCCTGAAGAGGTGAGATCCAGGACACAAATAGATACATGCATATCCATGTTCACTGCAGCACTATGTATAATAGCAAAGAGATAGAAACAACCGAAACAACCTAATTGCCCATCAACAGATTGAGTGGATAACCAGATTATGGTACTTATACAGAATGAGTACTATACAACATTAAAGGATAAGGAAAAATCAGTGAATCACCTTATAATGTGGATGAACTTGGAAGACATTATACTGAGTGAAATAAGTCAATCACAGGACAAATATTGTATGATAATTGCAAAAAAGGTTTACACAGGAAAGGAAATTTTCTTTGTCAGTTACCAGGGATGGGAGGGTGGGGAAGGGAGGGAAAGTAGATGGATAATTAAGAGACAGGTTTGATATGGGTGAAGCGATTTAAAAAAGGAAGGAAGAAAGGAAGGGAGGGAGGGGGGAAGGAACGGGGAAGGAGGAAGGGAGAGAAAAAAATTCTAAGGTGGCTTATTCACATTTTGATTACAGAAACTCAATAGGGAAAAAAGAAATAATGTGATGATGTAAAAATTGTTGAATTCGTATATGTTCTGCTGTGTATATTCTCAACAACAAGAACAAAAATAAAATTTAAAAAAGAAATAATGCAATGGGAGAAATAGTATTTGGTACAATTTATTGAACATGATATGCCAAATTGAACTTGAAATTAAAACAAGCTCATACCTGCTTAGAAAGCACTTTCATGTGGCCTACGCTTCCCCGACAATATGCTTCAAGTATGACACCAAATTGTACTGAAACAGCAGGAATGTGTACTTCTGACCTGTAGTAAGTTAATAATATTAAAATAGTTAATCAGAAACATCAGATTATGAAAGAAGAAAACAAAATTTCTTTCCCTACAGCAGCAATGATATTACCCATAATCTTTTGGAAGAAATAAATATGTCTACATTTAGTCCAAATATATTAACTTGCATACCTTACTAGAAAACAGCAATACATCCATTATTATTTTCAGCTAAAAATCAAGCAAGCATGGAGGGACACTTTCCTTTCTTTTTTTTTTTTCCTATGTCTCCGTGTAATCTATCTTGCAATAGTCACTTTCATTATGTCTTTTTTTGTGTGTGTATGTGATTTGGGTGAAAATTTACAGAGCAAATCACTTTCCATACAGCAGTTCACATACACTTTGTCTCATGACATTGACTACAATTTACTACAATGCAACAGCTCCCCTTCTCACTTCCTTCCAATGGTTACCTCTTCCCTGTGTCCATCCCTCCATGAACTCCTGCCGCCTGAGCTGTCTCCCTGTGCACAAACAGCCCTTCTTTCTCCCATGATTGTTCTCTCCAAGGAGTGTATCTCCCTCAGGTACATGTTCAACTCATATGCCTGTCTTTTGTTTGGCTGGAAGCCACAGGTGTGGGTTCAATTCCAGACCTGAAGGGCAGCTAGGGCCATAGTCTCAGTGGT